TACAAAGCAAGATTTAAATGATCTTGAATTGCCGGAAGCCCCAGGAGCTTCCCTCCTTTTTTATTTAATTTAGCTAACATGTTCTTGAGCGTGCCATTATAACGCTCCACAATAGCCTGTCCTGTGGAATTGTATGGAATTCCAAATTTATGTTCCACGGACCACTGTTTGCAAAACTGATCAAAGACTGTGCTCCGATAAGCCGCACCATTGTCTGTTTTTAAAGTTTGAGGCGTACCAGCAACTGAAAATGTCTTAATGCAATGATTGATGACATGTTTAACCGCTTCACCTCTTTGAGGAGTAGCCATTAGAAATCCTGAATAAGTATCCACAGTCACATGTATATACTTCCAAGGTGCAAATGATGGATATTGAGTAACATCCATTTGCCAAATCATTGAGGGTTTCAACCCCCTGGGGTTGACTCCCATAGGAATAGCCGTGCCTTGCTTTGAACAAGTTGGACATTGTTGAATTATGGCAGCAGCTTCTGCAGCAGTAAGCTTAAATTGATGTGCTAACGCTTTAGCATTTTGATGAAAATAACTATGGCTGTCCCATGGCTGGACAGTGAGAAATGAAGTTACAGCACTGTCAGCTTTGGCATTGCCTTGTGATAAAATTCCAGGCAAATTGCTATGGCTACGGATATGGGCAACAAAACACACATTCACACGCTGCTCCAAACATCCTTGCAACAACAAAAGCAAACGTAGAATATTAGGTGATATTCCAGGAGACAAATAAGATCCTGCTACAAAGGGTAACAAATTATATACATACAAAGAATCCACTATTAGATTAAAATCCTGATTTTGAAAATTTTGAAAAGCCAAAACTACAGCAGCAAGTTCTGCCTGCTGGGCAGACTTCTGCTCTGATGTCACTTTTGTATGCCAAATTCCAGATTTATCTTTCCAAACACAAGCACCAAAAACTTTCCCTCCATCAGTAAAGACTGTAGGAGCATCTGATATAGGCTGATTTACAAAAAGATTTGCTAAATTAATTCTAACTGATTTATACAAAGATAACCTAGGATCAGCTGGAGGATGACAAGAAAACTTCCCTGGCCAAGAATCTACCAAAACTTGTAAAAACTCACTATTGCAAATCATTTGTTCCCAGGTGGCTAAAGCAAAAGGAACATAACATGTTACTGGTTCCATACCAGCAATAGCCTTGCAGCGCTGACGAGCACGATTAAAAATATCAGCAAGCTGTTCTGTGATACAATTTATGGATTTCGATGGTGTATGAGACAAATGAATCCATTCCAGAATCCTTAAAGCTGTTTTTTCTTTTACCTGAACTATCAATGCAGTAACTCTACGTTCTGAGATTAGAATCACTGATAATGGACAATCTGGCAAACATCTATCTGTCCACCTACGACTCAAAGCTTGCTCAATTAATGACAAAATTCCCTTCTGTTCTTTATTCAGGGTTATTATGTCAGATGCTTGCTTAGCACTAGCCAAAGCTTGAAACAAAGGACTTAATTGAAGAGTAGTTAAACCCAAATACGGTCTGATCCAATTTATATGACCCAAAAATTGTTGTAGACCTACCAAGGTTAAAGGATCAGGAAGAACAAATTCCAACTTCAGAGGTGTAATGTGACTCAAGAATAATTTATGACTTAGATAGGCAAAAGGATATTCCTTTTGCAATTTCTCAGGGCTGACTATCAGCCCTTTCTCCTTCAGCATAGCAGTTAAAAGAAAGACAGCAGAATCCATTGCAGCATCAGAAATATTAGCAGCTATCAAAATATCATCCATGTAATGATAAACCTTCCAATCCGGGAATTTATTCCGGAAAGGTTGCAAAGCCCAATCTACAAACATTTGACACATGGTAGGACTATTTAACATTCCCTGTGGAAGGACAGTCCATGCATATCGCTTAGCGGGCTGCCCCTGATTTATACTCAAGATAGTAAAAGCAAACAAATCTACATCTTCAGGGTGCAGAGGAATGGAAAAGAAAGCATCTTGCAAATCTAACACTCTTATATTCCATCCATCAGGTATTAAATTAGGATTAGGTGTCCCACACTGCAGTGGGCCCATTGGCTTTAAAATTGAATTTATCCCTCTCAAATCATGTAAAAATCTGAATTTCCCAGATTTCTTCTTGATAACAAAGACTGGAGAATTATAAGGACTAGTGGTAGGCACTATATGTCCCTTGTCTAATTGTTGTTGAACCAATTCATGTAAATGAACTAATTTCTCACTAGTCAAAGGCCATTGATCTATCCACACTGGCTCCTGCTGGAGTAACTGTAATTTTAATAACTCCACAGGTGGGTGTTCAGTCATCATGAATGACAACTGTTGTATCAAACTGTTGCATCAAATCTCTGCCCCACAAGTTAACGTGAAGGCGCAAAACAATCGGTTGGAAATGTGCAATAGCACTTCCCTGCTTTGTTTTGGCAGAAAGAATCCTCCTACTAACCCGTGCGTCTTGAAGTCCTCCGACTCCTCGAACAGACGGTGTAGGATCTGTCGGCCACTCCCTAGGCCACTCACTTTCGCTAATCACCGAAACATCTGCTCCAGTGTCCAGCAATCCAATAAACTGTCTGCCTTCAACCAAAAGAATTTTGGTTTCTGATCAGCCTTGACATTTTGCATGATGGAAAACACACTAGACTCACTAAACATATCTGTAGATCCAAATCCACCCTGGCGAATTCTATCTGACTCCCCCAAAGACAGATATGGCAAAACTAAAAGCTGTGCAAAACAATCCCCTTTTTTCAAAGATTGAGGAACAGGTGAATGAACTTGAATTTTGATCTGACCCTCATAATCCGAATCAATAACCCCAGGAACCACAAACAATTTACGCTTATGAGCTGATGATCTAGGAAGAAGAAGACCCACAGAAGCCGGAGGCAACGGTCCATAGAAATCCGTTGACCCTAAACAAACTACATGTGGATATCCTAATTCCAAATCCTCAGCTAATGGAAGATCAATTCCTGCTGAACCTTTTGTAGCTGGTGACCATATTTGATCCCTACCTCTTTTTGGTGGCTCCAACCCTTCGGACATTACTTCACTCTTTAGAGTAGGGAGAATGCCCCGATCCCTGCTTCCTAGTTTTTTCCCTCAGAATGAAGTCTGCACTGATTTGCCCAATGGTATCCTTTCTTACATTTCGGGCACACTGATTTAGGACGAGCACCCTGTCCCAATAATCTCTTTTTTTGCTGACTTTGACCCCCCCCAGGAGCCCGACATTGCGCTTTAAAATGTCCAGGCTTCCCACAATTGAAACAAGTTCCTTTATTAGCATTTCCTGCCTGGAGAGCCAGAGCTAAAGTCTCCATATTAAAAGTCTGACTCCCCACCTTTCTACATGCGTTTATCAAATCAGCAATCTCTCTCTCTCCGCTCGCAATAAGTGGATTTAGAATTTTTTTACAATCTGCATTTGCCTGTTCTACTGCTAACTTCAAAAGCAATTCATTCCGGGCAAATTGATTGTCAATTTGCCTTTCAATAGCCACTTTCAATCTGCTAATGAAATTTTCATAGGGTTCATTGTTTCCTTGTTTGATGTTAGTAAAGGTCTTCTCACCACCTTCGCCGTCAGGGAGGGCCCGTACGGCTTGGAAAATTAACTGTGGGAGAAGAATGAATCCCTCCTCTGGCATTCCATCTCGCTGTAATTCCACTGTTGTAAAATTACCAGATCCATAAAGCTGATCTGGAGTAACATTTGCTGTTCCCCTTTGAACTGCCAGCTGTCTCCATTTCTGATCTAACACCAAATATTGAGCTGGAGTTAGAATCATATTAAATAAAGCTCTCCAGTCAGCCGGAATCATTTTATTTCCATAGCCAACTGCTTCTAACAATGCCTGAGTGTATGGCGATCTAACACCATACTCTTTTGCTGCTTGCTTAACTTCCTTTAAAATCTTGAGAGGTAAAGGCTTCCACACTCTCTGCGGATTTAAAGCAACATCCACACCAATTTCTACTGGATTAAGTTGAATCTCCACTCCAAAATCTACCAAATCATCTCCTGATAATTCCCCTCTATCTGTTGCTTCTTGAATAGCTGCAGTAACTGCATCTACTTGAACTCTTAAAGGCAAACTCTTATCTTCTGACAAAGTATTTTCAGTGCCTGACAGTCCTCTGGATTTATCTGGAGGTGCTGTCGGTGGCAATATACGTACCGCATGGTAAGGCGGCAAACCTTCTTCGGGGGGTGCTAGGAGCGGTTGTTCATGCGTAGCTAATGCATCCATAACCACTCTCCAGGTTAACAAAATTGAAGAAGGGGCACGAGGCTCCTCGTGCAAAAATTTCCCTATCTTTCTCCAGCACTCTACTTTAATACTACCTCCCTCTGGATAACACGGAATATGTTTCCAAACATACTGTAATAAGTCCTCAATTTCTTTCTTTCCTACTTCATGTCCTCTACTATGAACTCCAAACTTAAAACTATTCCCAGTGATCTCTCTCATTTCCCTAAGGTGCTTTGTCTGAGCTTTCGAGAGACCTCCCCCCATACTCACGAAAAGAATCTGTCTCCGTCCAGCGAAGAAGATGAGGGCCCAGTCGACGTCCGCGACGATGAGTATAGGATGCGGGAAACGTATAGCTTTCAAGCTATCACGCCGAAACGTATAGCCTTCCAAACTATCACGTCGAGGTCACCACTTGTGGTGGTCTGACAATTGAAAAATGGGAGACGCAGGGAAACGTCTG